CAGCAGCAACGGAAGCGACAACAGCAGCAAAAGCAACAACAAGAAAAGCAGCCACAGGATGCTGCAGTGGCCCATCATCAGCAGCAGAAGCAGCAGCAGGCAGAACAGCAGCAGCAGCAGCAGCAGCAGCAGATTGCTGAGATATGGTTGACTATAGGAGAAGGCCATAACACTGAGCATCTGCTGCTGCGTCTGCTGCCACCTGCTGCTGCTGCTGCTGCTGCAGCAAGTGCAACAGGAGCAGCAACAGCAGCAAACGCGCCTCTGCAGTTGGAGGTAATTGCTGTTAGTACACCTGCTGCTGCTGCTGCTGCTACTGCTGCTCGTGGGGTGTCTCTGCTACAGCCAGATCTGCTGCTGTCTGTTGCTGCTCTGCTGCAGCAACGACTGCAGCAGACGCAGCAGCGGCGTCTGATGCTGCTGCAGCAGCCTGCTGGCCTCCCCAGGAGGAGACCGGCAGCAGCTAGCAGCAGCAGGCACACCAGCAGCAGCAGCAGCAGCAGAGGCAGCAGGAGGCAGCAAACAGCCTTCCTAGCAGCAGCAATAAATACACGGCCTATACGCATGCAACTCCCTCGTGTTTGTATACATTAATTAATTAATTAATTAATTAATTAATTAATTAATTAATTAATTAATTAATTAATTAATTGTCTCTTATTAATTAAGGAGACAAATAAAAAAAAGAGGAGACAATAAATAAGGAGACAATTAGTGTCTCCTTTTTTGTCTCTTTTTTTTTGTCTCCTTTTTTTGTCTCCTTTTTTGTTTATATAAGGAGACAAATTAGCAGCAAATGTTATTGAGTGATGCAGCAGACTCAAAGCCTTAATAGGACAGTCTGCTGCTGAAAGGAGACACTTGCTGCTGCTGCTGCTGCTGCTGCTGCTGCTGCTGCAGGAGCTGCAGCAGCAGCAGCAGCAGCAGCACAGAGATATATCAATAATAACTTCTTTTTATATATAAAAAAAAAAGGAGACACTATATATGTATAGAGGGATATATACATAACAAATAATAATTAATTAATAAATATATATAGAGAAAAAAAAGGAGACAGGTAAATAGACAGAGAGGAGACAGAGGAAAGAAAATAAATAAGGAGACACAAACAAGAAAGGAGACAAAGAGACAGCTGTCTGTATATAGGGGAAAAAAAAAAGGAGGCACTAATAATAATATATATTATAATAATATTTATATATATAATACTTTATATATATAATATAATTATATATAATATAATAATATATAATAATTAATAAAAAAAAAAAAAAATAAATAAATAAATAATATTTATAAAAAAATAAATAAATATATTCCTTATAAGAAAAATAAATTATAAAAAAGAAGAAAAAATAACGCCGATGTAGCTCAGTCGGTAGAGCGCGAGGCTCTTAACCTCGTGGTCGCGGGTTCGAGCCCCGTCGTC